AAGGTCTCGGTCCAGCATGCCATGGAGGAATGCGTTCTTCACATCCAGCTGCATCAGGTCCAAATCAAGTGCAGCTGCAATTGCCAGAAGCACACGTGCCGTCACATAGCTTCCCACAGGGGCGTACGTCTCCTCATAGTCCACCCCTGCCACCTGCGTGAACCCCTTCACCACCAGCCTCGCCTTCTCACGCTCCACTATCCCATCCGGTCGGAACTTGGTGTTCAAAATCCAGCGGTTCTTCATCACATTCACCCCTGGCGGACGCGGAACCAACTTCCACGTCCCCTGCTCAATCAAGCTCCGCATCTCCTCATCCATCGCCTCCTTCACCTTGTCGCCCTTCCAGCAGCCTAAGGCCTCCTTCACTGTCATCTTCGCTATATCCCACTGCCTCTCAGGGTCAGCCACCACGTTAGGGTCCAGGTCTGTCCACTCCTCGTCCTCCTCCTCGTCATCCAATCCCGCTGGCTCAACCACTAAAGCCCAAGCATACTTAAGAGGCGGGATACCACGAGTGATGCGAGTGGAGCGACGCAGTGGCGCAGTGATCATCCCAGAGGCCAACACACGACCACCATCTCTAATTCCCCACATCTCCTGCTCCCCTGTCTGCGGCTCCCCTGTCTGCTGCTCCCCTAGCTGCTGGTCCACCATCTGCTGCTCCTCAATCCGCTCCTCCCCTATCTGCTGCTCCCCTGACTGCTGCTCCCCTATCTCTTGCCCCCCACTCTGCTGTACTCCATCCATACTGCGTTCGTCCTGCAGCTGCTCAGACTCAAGGCGCTGCCCGTCGGTGATCTCCACAGACGGTGGCACCTCTATCCCCCCCTCACCAACGGGCGGCGCCGTGGAAGACGACGAGGAGGGCGGAGCAGGTGCAGGAGGGATGGAGGGTGGAAGGGGAGATGGAATAACAGGAGGAGGAGGGGGGGAAGCCAAGGGGGGTGAGGAGGAAGAAGGCGGGGCAGGGGGGATCACACGAGGGTAGACTGAAGGCGGAGGTGGGGTGGGGACTGAGGTAGGGACATAGGGCATAGCAGGAGGTGCGACCACCTCCTCCTCCTCCTCCGCCTCCTCGAGAGTGATCGGGAAGAGTGAGGGAAGGGGCGCATAGGGCATCGAACGCCCCCCATGCTCCTGCTAATGCCAAGCCTTCCATCCTGCCAGGGACATGGTCTCATAAAACACAGCTTCCACAGTGGTGATGAGGCGGTTGGACTCCAAGTCCAGCACGGTCCAGCCCTTGCTCGCAGCTGACACACCCAAGTGCAACCCCCAGCGAGCCTTAGGCGCCAGCTTCCCCCCACGCTGCGACTGTGGTACCATGTACTGCAGCATGCACCCCCAAACACGCACCATACTGACATCAGGTTTGCGTCGGAAGGCGAGCTCGTACGGCGTCACACCAGAGGGTAGTGAGGCGTGCTCCACGCGGTTGCGCACCCATACGACCTGCGCCAACGCCAGGTGCCACCAGTGATGCTGCACACCCATGTGCAGCAACATTGTCCGCACCGCCTCCACAATGCTGCGCATCTCCCTCTCGGCCATCCCATTCTGCTCCGGCGTGTACGGGCATGTGAGGTCATGGATGATGCCTTTGCCGTCGAGGAAGAGCGTGAAGTCGTGCCCCAGGAACTCGCCACCCCGATCAGTGCGCAGCGCCTGCACCGTGGTCTTGCACTGTCGCTCTGCCATCGGGAGCCACTTCTGGAACGCCGCCAGCGCATCACTCTTCTGGGCCAAAGGGTAGGCCCAGACATATCGCGTCTTGCGATCCTTCAGCACCAAGAAGTAGCGGCTGCCGTCCTTAGCTGCTTCACGGAAAGGGCCACACAGGTCAGCATGCACCACCCCGAGCAACTCATCCTCCTCCTCTCCCACAGAAGGAAAGGTATGACGAGTAATCTTTCCCCCAACACAGGAGACACAAGGTATGCCTGACTTGCCCCCCTTCTCCAAATCCAAGCCCTTCACTGACCCGTGAGCCGCTGTGCGCTCGATGGCATCAATACCAACGTGTGCCATACGCGCATGCCACAGGTCCCCCTTAGACCGCACGCCCGTCGCCAAGGTACGAAGTGCCACCGTTTCGCCTTCCTGCTGCTGCGTCGAACACGGCTGGAAGTTCGTGCAGAGAACACGCCCCTTGAACTTCGCACGACCAAGGAGCGATCCATCTGGTGCCCGCAGCAAAGTCACATCCCCGGCATCCAGCAGCTGCACACCACTATCACGCAGCTGCCCAGCAGAGAGAAGACTCGCCTGCACTCCTGGTACGTACAGCACGTCCGGCACCAAGACACGCCTGCCCCCCTCTCCAAGAAGAGCGACTGTGCCTCGCCCCTGCACCTCTTGAAGGGCGCCGTTGAAGCCGGTAACCTGTTTAATACTGCTGCCGCTGCTCATCTCCACAAAGGCAGAACGATCTCCCATGAGATGGTGGGAGCATCCGCTATCAAGTAGCACGACACTCGGGTTCGCCTTTACAGCAGCTGCAACAGCCTGTAAGCCTTCTCCGGCCTCAGGCTCCAGCACAACGATAGGAGTCTGCTCCACAACGGGCTTCACCATCGCACATGATGACTGCCCGCTCCCCTTAGAGCCATCACCCCCCTTTCCGCTGCTACCTCCAGAACCCTCTTCACCAGCGTCTGCCTCCTTATCCGCCCGCTGCTGACAGTACTTAGCAACATGCCCTGTCTGTCCACATACATAGCACTTTCCCTTGAAGCCCCCTTTCCCCCCCTTCGGCTGGCCATCCTTACCCCCTTTCCACTTCTCCCCTCCCCCACCAGCCCCACCCCCATTCTTAGGCTGCTGCTGCTGTGCCGTAGTGGGAGGGGAAGGGAATGAAGTCTGCTGGAATTGGGGCTTACCCTTCTTGGTAAAGACCTGGTTAGCCTGGGGAAGGAATTGGTCATTTCGTCCCTCTGCCGCCAGCGTACACTCCTCCTCGATGATGTAGCTAGCGAGGGTGTCTTCGTCCAACTCCTTGCGCACCTGCGGCAACTTCAGCATCCTGCGCAAGAGGTTGTACTGCTGCGGCAACCCCTTCACAACGTGAGTGATGTACGACGCCTGCGAGTAATCTACGCCGGCCATCCTCATGTTTACTAGGATCTGCTGCGCACGGTTGCAATATGACGTAGCGGACTCGTGCTCTCCCATCTCGAGGTTAGTGAGCGCCTGCTCTAACTGACCGATGTACAGATCGTCCTTCGCCATGTACGTGCGCATAATAAACTGCCATGCCTGATAGCCGGCATCTACCTTCATGCGACACGCCTTAAGGGCGATCTGTACGGTTGAGGAGCAGCATCGGGAAATGGTGGTGAACGTCAGCAACTGCATCGCGCGGAACTGGGAGAGATGCGCAAGTGCACGCGCAGGTGGAATGGGGGTGGTGCCATCTATGAATCGTTTTAGCTGAGCGATCTCAAGCTGCGGCTCGATTGATTCTGTCCACGTCGACAGGTCGTGACGTCCTTCTAACGGCCTAGGGACAACGATCTTGTCTGGAGTGAATCTGAAGTAGCCATAGTTGGGGGCTATTCCCTCGTCCCTCGACATCGATCCAATCGGGGTAACGCCCGGCATAGCCTCACTATCGTACTCTTCCGCATTTCCTCCTCCAGCAACGCTCCGCCGTCCTACATTCGCATGCTCTCGTGACGCTGCTGCACGATGAACACGCTCCTGTACACCGCCGACGCTAGACGTACTAAACCGAGTTGGTCCTCGCAGGACCCCACGCGACATCAACCCATCAAGCTCCTCGTCATCGCTATTTCCGCCATCGACGGCCATATCCCACGCACTAGTACCTCCCGCAGCTTGCTCAACATTCTCTACACGTGGCGAAGGGTGCTCACGACGCCGACGCGAGCGCAATCCCTCCAACATTAACTCGTATTCGATATCACTAATCTCACCACGAGAATGTCGAGCCACGAGATCCTCCTCTAGGGCGCGCAAATTACCGGCCTCCACGTTCGCCTCCTCCGTACTCATCCTCTACGACGTCTCTATAAGGTACCACAAATTAAAATAAATTGTCCCTTCCTTGAATCCCTCGTCTCGGGGTCACCTCACAAGGGTCCTCAGACGAATGGTAATAAATTACCAAGCGCCCTATCCTTGGGTCCGAGAACGTAACTGGAGGGAAATCAAGAGAGGTTCAACTTAAATTAATAAGCGCCCTTCACTAACGCCGCACGCCAAGGCGAGTATACGAACGCGGATATCAACGACGACGAAAATCTATGCGTGTTCGTTCCACGCTCACCGCACCATGAAGGAATATATTAGAGAGCGTAGCGATAACGAGAGAGTTTCTGCTATGAGAATGATGTTGCGCCAACAACTTGGTAGAGTTTCGGTAGAGTTTGCCTCCAAGGACTTAGTGAGGATTGAAGTAGCTTTTGGGCCAAGTAGAATTGCAATATCAACTATGAATACAAAAACAAACACACAACTAGATATAGGCTACGGGAAGGTTTCACAAAGTTGGCGTGGCACTGCGCAGTAACCCAACCCCACGAAAGTGGTGTGTGGGTGAGCGAACGCGCCTCGTCAACTTCCCAACCCAACTCAGCAGGGAAGTCAATGCCGAGCTCGCCAATTCTCCCAGCTCAACTAGAAATGGCGAGACTCACAGAGAATCACCCACAACCACCAAGACCACCCAAGAAGCATGCCCACGATTTCCCTAGACTAACACCACCCCAGCAATGACTGTTTAGTGCTGCCGTTGTCACATCGCGTCACTACGCAACCATCGCCAAATCATAGGGTCGGTGCTGGACTGCTCGTCTTGGTCTTTCATAGTCGACCTGCCAAGTCAAACGGTCGTCGAGGGCCCTTGCTGTCGTAGGGCCCTCTAACATTCTCTTCTCTGCACATCCTCTCCATCGTCCTCTCCCTTGTCCTCTGCAGCAGTTCAGATGATGAAGGCAACGTATGGGGACGACACTGTAAAAAGCATGACGCACCGCATGGCTCTGCGTAGCATGCTCAAAACCGCGTATGGAGAAGACACGGTGAGGATTGCGCTAGAGACCACCGCCGGCAGCAGCACCGCTGGCAGCACCAGTGGGGTTTCCGTGCTTCCCGTTACCACAACGGTTGTGCTGGGACCTGCGCAGCTGACCTTCAGCAAGCAGCGCTGCGCGAGCGTGCCTAAGAAGGCCGTTAAGCAGAGGAACGCGCAGGTGTGGTGGAGCGGCCCTAAGGGGTCGAGCAAAGCCAATTCGGGCGGCAAGGCGACAGGTGTCGCGTGCTCACAGGTCAAGTTCTTCGGAAAGGACGGCTGCCAGGGCAAGGAGATTGACAGCATGGCCAACCCGGGGACTACTACTGCGGTCAAGTGAGTGGTGGGTGGTGTGTGTCAGCGGTGCCTTGCCATGTGAGTGTTGGAATATGTGTGGGTGTGAGTTTGGTTGGTGCGGCCGTGTGTGAGGCACGACGAGAGGACTCGAGCGGCGCATGACCTGGGGAGGGAAGGGAGGGGCAGGGGGGAGAGGAGAGGGGAGGGAATAATAAGCATGTTGCCATCTCTTGTGCTTCCACTTGCCACGCCCTTCAGAAACACAAAGAAGCAGCTTCAGAAGGGGGTTTTCGTGGCATCTGTTCTCTGTGCTCTTCCCGAGCAGCAGCAGAAGGAAAATTCGCCACAGCAGCCACAGCCGAATGCCGGTACGTTCATTGCTTCGCCCTAGAATGGGAACCCCCCCCCCCTATCAGGGACTTTGTACGATTCCAAACCCCTTGTCTTCGGGAGGGTGTAATCGGGTGCCTTACTGATGGCAAATAAATTCTTGTCGATAATAGCGTCTTTTGATAATAGCGTCTTTTGATAATAGCGTCTTTTGATAATAGCGTCTTTTGATAATAACGTCTTTCGGTCCAAAGCAACACCATCCTGACTTAGGGATGCAAACCCAGCCTACGTCATTCCGATGGCCTTATAGCATCCATAATCATTCCCATATATCTTTGTCTGTTGCCCCTTCATGTTGCCTCTTCATGGCATCCATAATTATTCCCATATCTCTGTTTGTTGCCCCTTTCTGTTCTCCTCTCTGCTGCAGATCCTGCCTGTGCGGCGTTGGACTGTGAGCCGGTGGGTGGCACATGTGAGGTGGATGGAAACGGCGAGCGCTACTGCAAGTGGGGTGAGTGAGCATGGCGTTGCCGCCAGTGGGGTGAGCATGCCTTTCCCGCTCTCTTACTCTCAACTCAATTCAGCCGTTCATCTATCAACCTCCTCCAACAGCCATCCACTGCGCTCACTCCCACCCCTCATTCATACTCTCCCGCCGTTCTTTTGCTTCTCCCTCTCTGCCTTGCTTCTCCCTCTCTGCCTTGCTTCTCCCTCTCTGCCTTGCTTCTCCCTCTCTGCCTTGCTTCTCCCTCTCTGCCTTGCTTCGCCCTCTCTCCCTTGCTTCTCCCTCTCTCCCTTGCTTCTCCCTCTCTGCCTTGCTTCTCCCTCTCTGCCTTGCTTCTCCCTCTCTGCCTTGCTTCTCCCTCTCTGCCTTGCTTCTCCCTCTCTCCCTTGCATCCCTTGCCTTCCTCACCCTCACCCTGTGGCGCTGCCCCTCCGGAGCCTCAAGACCCCACGAGTGATGGCACTCACATACCGCACTGCACCCATCCCCACCCCTCGGTCTCACCCTCTGACGCCTGCCCCTCTCGAGCCTCAATCCGCACTAAGATTGCACTGACGTACCGCACTGCACCCATCCCCACCCCTCAGACTCACCCTGTGGCATCTGCCCCACTGGAGCCACCTGCAAGACGGTGGCTGCGACGTTCAACAGTGCGGTGCCAGTGCCTTACTGCGCGTGCCCTCAAGGCTTTGGGATAACCGCGAGCAAGTGTGTTGAGGGTGAGTTTGTTTGATGCACTGTTGGCTCACTGAGCTATGTCTGGATCTCGCGAGCAAGTGTGTTGAGGGTGAGTTTGTTTGATGCACTGTTGGCTCACTGAGCTATGTCTGGATCTCGCGAGCAAGTGTGTTGAGGGTGAGTTTGTTTGATGCACTGTTGGGATAACCGCGAGCAAGTGTGTTGAGGGTGAGTTTGTTTGGTGCACTGTTGGGATAACCGCGAGCAAGTGTGTTGAGGGTGAGTCTGTTTGATGCACTGTTTGTTTGATTCACTGAGGCTGAGCTATGTCTGGATCTCGCGAGCAAGTGTGTTGAGGATGAGTTTGTTTGATGCACGCTCGCTCTACTCTCCACACTCTCCTCTTCGCACTTTTTTCACTCTCCATTGTCAACACTTGCCCCACTCCCCTCTCTCCCCACTCCCTCCTCTCCCCTCTCGCCCCACTCTTTGCTTCACCTTTCTCGCTCTGCCAGGTTGGCTGAACGGCTGATGCTGCTCTAAGTTGTGGGATTGTGGCAATGCATGTATGAATGTATGTATGCATGTATGTATGTATGTATGTATGTATGTATGACGATATGTATGACGATATGTATGACGATCTGTATGACGGTGTCTACGAATGTGGGAATGCATGAAGGTGCAGACAAACATTGCGCTAAATCCTTCCTTGTTGTGCCACTCTTTCTCAGGTGGACGGTCCACCGTCTCTTCTTTCAGCTCCACTTTCATCGCGAATCGAACTGCCAAGGATGCGTCTTCCCGACCCTACACCTTTCGCGTCAACCTGATTGGCTGCACTCAAATCCCGGCTGCAGTGGTGGGGAAGGTCACCACAATGTATATTGTTGAAGGCATCGACGACGCTCCAAGCTGCCGCGGTTTCAAGAACTACGCAACCGATAACTGTAGAGGCGCGAGTGAATTCGACAACTCTGGCGGAACCCCTCATGCGGGTTATGTACTGTGAGTGATCGATCGTTTCCCACCCTCACGCTTGCGCAGCTTTTCCACTTCCCTTCCTGCACCAATCATCAAAGATAACACTTTCTTAGTAGTCTTATCCTGGGGTCTTCCCCTTGTTTTTTTTAACCGGGGACATCCCACCTATGACTCTCTGCTCATAGAAAAGTAGGTTCGACCCAGAACCTAGCAGACCTGACTCGTTCTAGTGTTCGCAATTCTATCATCCCCTTGTTTTTATTTACCAGGGACATCCCACCAATGACTCTCCGCTCGATCCGGTGCATTCGGTAGGATGACAAGGACGGCTGCGCATGCTATTGTGTCATCTGCACGTGCTTCCAACTTAAATGGCTCCTCCCCTCCACTCAATGAAGACCCTTCTTCCCTCCACGCAATGGAGATCTGTTGAAAGTGTTCCAGTGTAGACCCAGTGTAGAATGTTCTTTCTTGCCAACCATTGCACCTGCCCTAGGGATCTCTTCCTTGAGAATGTTTGTAGAGCTACATGTGCTGTGTATGGAAAGTTGAAATTGTACTCTTTACTGGATTTCAAACCTGTCTGTAAACACTTCCGATGCGAGTGAAGCCCAACGCTGTTCGCCAGCCGACTACAGTTCAGCACTTCAAAACGTTTCCGAAGGAGGATTACCTGATCGCATGTACCGTACCTACCGTACGAGCTTGGTGGGTAGACAAACAAATGATCCTGTAACAAACTACGTGCGCATTTACTACGCCGCAAGGCATTTGTCAAGATTTACTCTCCATACTTTCTACTATCACACCCCATCAAACCCTCTCTTGATTGAAAGAAAGGCAAAGAATCACCCCTAGGGAAGATGCTGCTTTCGAGGCGCCTAAAAATTAGACGAGATAAACTTCTATCACATTCTATCCGACAGACCTCTCTCTTTTAAATGAAAGGCGCAGAATCTCCCCCAGCAAAGATGCTGCTGCAGCCCGTAGTTTTTCATTTGGAGATTTCTTCAAGAGCTGAGAAAGCGCTTTCGTGAGAGGCACCGGGATCGCAAAAGCAACACCGGAAGGGGGCAATGCACGGCTCAATGCACTGGGCCTTGACAAATCAGATGTGGCCTGGCCGCCACCCTGCACTGCTGAGTGGTTTTCGGTGACGAATTGGATGAGGCCGGTGAAGAATGAGATAGCTGTGAGCTTGATGGAGTCTGAGGGGTGGGAGAGAGCCTGCAGAGGGGGGAGTAAAAGGGAGGGGAGAGGGTCGGATGGGAAGGATACCATGAGAACATGAAAGGTTTGTTGGTATCATGTCCTCATGGATCCCACAAATCCGTAGTCAATGGGTTCAGATTAGGAAACATGGGACGGATGGGTATGGAGGTTACATATATGAGGTGTGTGTGTGTGTGTGTGAAATACAGTACGATGAGTACTCACTTCCAGTGTGAACCCAGTGTATACTTTTGAGTCGACTAAAAAGCAGACTCATTACACACACTTTTTATATTGAAACGTTATTTGTGTGCAATGCTGTACGATAAGTACTCACTTCCAGAGTGAACCCAGTGTAAGCGTTGAAACTCGTTACAAAGTCGTTCGAGAGAAACCGGTAAAAGCTCCCAGTGAAGAACGATGACTCCCTGAAACGGATAGTTGAGAGGGCATCACAAGACATGAAGATTTCCATAGCAACACATGGCGAAGGTTATGAAAGACAGGAGAGGGGAGAGAGAACGAGGAGGGAAGAAGGGAGTGCAGAGTTGATCGGAGGCAACACCAGAGAGTGCGGGAGAGAATGGGCAAGGAGGAGGGCATCAGAGGGAGAAGTAGTGTTTTGAGATGTCTCAAAACACTACTTCAAACACGTGGGACGAAGGAAATGCAGAGTGCGGGAGAGAATGGGCAGGGAGGAGGGCATCGGAGGGAGAAGGGTAGATGAAAGGAGGGTATATGAAGGGAAAGAGGCACGAGGTGATCGAACTAACGGAAACACGAAAATGGACAACATTGCTCATTGTCACCTCACAGAGATGATAGTGAGAGTCTTCAAAAAAAAGAAGAAAAAAAAACAGTTTGGTTTCCACAAACAAAACCGCACTGTTTGCTCTGAGAGAAGTAACATAAGACAACACCACAGGACTCCAAAATCTGCTGAGTTGAGTCTCACGAATAGCCGAGATTCCTGAACACTCACATCATCGATTGATGGGTGCACTCAAGGCCTTGATCGGACGACAGAAGCCGAGCCAGGCAGTAAGAGGATGCCTGCAGCATGGGGGGATTGGGAGAAAATAAGATAAGAGAGCGGGCGACAGATGATCACAAGGCAGGCAGTAAGTGGATGCCCGCGGAATGAAACATGAGGGAGATTGCAAGAGAGACATGGTCTCGAGATGTCCCAAAGCTTACGTGGCTTGGACGATTCCTGTACACAAGACATGTGAATATGTTGTCTTGAGCACATGGTATGTGTAGGGAGCATGTGTAGGGAGCATGTGTAGGGAGCATGTGTAGGGAGCATGTCTAGGGAGCATGTGCCAAAGACAACATATTGACACGCTGGATGGGTGTGAAACCTCACTGGAGAGAAGGAGCATGCATCATCAGATGCTAGCATTACTAGTTTGAAATAATACCTTGCATGCACTTGTGACTAGGTCTGGTTGATGCTCCAACAAGAACCATTTAGCCACCATTGTCTCTCAGATGCTACCTGTTCGTGTAAGCCTTCAATCTCACACTTTGTACTTTGTATTTTCTATATCCTAGAGTAGTGTAGTTTGCACATTGTGTTTGGTTGGGTGTACACCTACATCCCAACCAAACCCAAATGTAATCTCCAAGCAATCTCCAACCCACCAATTGGAGATTGCCTTGGGATTACCCCCAATCCCCAGGGATTGCCTCTGATTCCCTTTCCCAACTATTCCTTACCCTTCTTGGATGTACTTAAAGAGCTTCAAGCTCATTACTAATGTATCGCTTCTAAGCCTAAGTTCTCACATGGTATTAGAGCCCTACATCCGCACATGCGGATCGTGATCCTCCTATCTATGCGGATGTTCTTCCCGCAAACCTCGGCATAGCCTCCTTCAATCTCGTCGCCGTCGATTCGCGACATTCGTGGGCGGAAATTCCCCCGCACCACTTTCCTGTCAACTTCGACGACGTCTTCAATTTCTATGGTACGCTCATCGACGTCGCTCTAACTTATAGTTCCTTTTTCGTCATCTCTCAATTTCGTCACCGCGTCACCTCTTCTCGTCGGGCCGCCGCCCGTCGCCCCGCAGCTTCCCGTCGGGCCGCCCCCCGTCGCCCCGCAGCTTCTCGTCGGGCCGCCGCCCGTCGCCCCGCAACTTCACGTCGGGCCGCCGCCCGTCGCCCCGCATCTGCACTTCTAATCCCATTCCCCTTTTCCCGCAGCTGAACAGGTGCAGCAGCACAGCCGAGCAGCAGTGCAGCAGCGCAACCGAGCAGTAGAGTAGCCGCGAAGCCGTGCAGCAGTGTAGCCGCCAAGCTGAGGGTGGTGTGTGGGGGGGTGTGTGGGATTAGGGTTAGATCTACGGAAGTCGGCCGATTTTACCTAGTTTTGGCGGCCTAGAAAATCCTTCTGCAAGACATCCCGACGCGGTCGACATTGACGATTTTCGCTATTTGGGGTCCGTCGAATTTCGAAATCGCCGCGCGCAGTTCCTATCGGTGACTTAAGAGCGGCGCTTCGCGCGAGACACCAAGGGATCTCCAGCATGGCCTTCACCGCGTCCACCATGGCCAACCCCATCACCCCACTCCGTCTTGAAGCCGATGGCTCTAGCCCCAACTTCAAGGCATGGAGCTATGGGGTTGACAAGCACCTGCTGAGCTGTGACGTGCAAGGATTGGACCTCAAGAAT